AATTCTATAATTTAGCTAGCACATGAGTTGACAGTCTCAGACATGCATGCCAAAGGTGAGATAGGAGTTAATGATTTTTAGTAACCAAAGTCTGTTAGTCAACTGGTATTTCCTAATCACTTACTATGTACCAGGCATGGTAGGTACTAAGTGCTGGGTATAGAAAGTAAGGCAAAAACATGGTCCCTGACCTCAAAAAGCTCACATTCCAATGGGTGACATAATATGAAAAAAGTTGTATATGCAATTGAGGGGACCAAGAAAGGCTTCTTGTAGAAGGCAGGATTTGAGTTGAGTCTTGAAGGAAACCAGAGAAGCCAGGAGGCAGAAGTGAGGAGGGAGAGCAAAATAGGCCTGGGGGCCAGTCAGGGAAAAGACACAGTCAGGAGGTGGAGTATGATGTGGGAGACACACCCAGGAAGGCCAGTGTTGTTGAATTATAGAATATGTGTGTGTGTAGGGGGAAGGGGAGAGGAATTAAAATACAAGGAGAATAGAAAGGTAGGAAGGGTCAGGTTGTAAAGGCCTTTAGAAACCAAACAGAGCTTTTTTATATCTGACCTTGGAAGTAACAGGGAGTCACTGGAATTTATTGAATTGGGAGGTGACATGTCAGACCTCTGCTTTAAAAAGATCATTGATAACTGAACAGAGAATGGATTAGAGCAGAGAGAGACCTGAAGCAGGTACACCAACCAACAGACTATTGCTGATGTGAGTGATGGGGGCCTGCACCAGGGTTTCAGCTGTTTGAGCAGAAAGAAAGGAATGCAAATGAGAGATGTGGCAGAGTAGAAATGATGAAACTTCTTGGCAACAGATTGGAAATGTGGGATGAGTGTGAACAAGAAATTGAGAATAACACCTAGGTTGCAACCTTGAGTGGTTAGGAGGATGTTGGTGTCAATAATCATCAATAATAGGAAAGTTTGGAAGGGGGGACGAAACGTGACTTTTTTCCCAGACATATTGAGTTTGATATGTCAAAGAGATAGGGTTCAAGGGACAGATTGGGGTTTAATAAATCAATTTGGAAATCATATGCATACAGATGGTAATTGAAGGTAGGAAATGAATGAGGTCACCAAGTGAAAGAGTACACAAAGGAAGTAGGAAAGCTGGTCCAGGATAGAGTCATGGTGGAGTTTGTTTGTACAGTATTGAAAGAATGCTGGGTTTGGAGTTGGTAGTATTCAGCTCTGAAACTTTCAAACTTTGGGACCACGGGTAAGTCAAATAACCTTTCTGGGCCTCAGTTTCTTTATCTAAAAAATAGGGATAATAATACTTGCATTACCTACCTGAAAGGGCTGTTGAAAGTACTCTTATAAAACATAAAAGATAATCAAAAATCAGTTATTAATATTCCCCCCCCCACATATCCTGCATTGACCCATATTCCTCAGGGTCCAAATCTTGAGTAGTCTGGACCTTGTTCACTCCATTTAGAGTATCAACTGTTAATTCACTAGTAGAGAAGGATCAGACTCCATTTAAGAGAGATGCAATAGAAAAGGCTGTTTTGAAGGGAGAACCACGTTTCAGGTCTCAGTTTAAGTCAGGAGGTAAGAGGCTGAATTATTGAAAAGTTTAAACTGGTGAATATGCTTGCAATAAAATGGACATATCAGAGTTTCATAGGGTTGACATGATGGGGCCTTGAAGAAAGATGGGGGTGGAGTTGGCTCAGGCAGAGGAGGGCCAAGTTGGTTTGAAGTAAGAGCAAGACAAAAAATTAGGCAGTTCAGTATCTTAATATTTATTTAATTACAGAGAAACTAGAGTAATTATTAATGGGAAAGAAATTTTCTCTAGTTTACCAAATTCAATATTTGACAAACGAAAGGAAGGGCTTGGGATAATTCATTCATTACTGAAAAGATATTACAAGCTTATTAATGAAAAATAAATGATCATAACAGGTTCCTAGTTCCCTATAGGACTTAGGAGAATATAAGTAAATATATGAGTCAAAAGGCCAGCTGAGGGTGGGTGACCTACAAATAAATGTGGTCAGCCTCCAATTAACTTGACTGCATTTGAAGGGTTGCTTCTCTGTTACCAAGCTGTTACACTTATATTCCTTATTTGATTCAGCCAGTCTTTTTCAACCAATATAGCATCTTCTTGCATGAGACATCCAATTTGGGAAATCAAGCAGACATATCTGAGCAAGACCCTGTCCCTCTATATAAAGCCCATGACCTTCAGCTGCCTTAGGGAGTTGCTTTGATATGAAGGTGATTCTGAAGGCATCCCATCCCAACTACGGAAAATGACATAGAGCTAGGTGGAGCTGGATATACTGAATAGAGGGCAGCCTTTCCAAAGGACCGTTGTCGATTTCCATTCTTCCTCCAGAAGAGCAATACACCCAAGGTTCTGGTGATCATCATGGTTGTATTCTTTTGTTACTGCTGCTGTTCCTGCTTCTAAGTGGTTTGCTGTAGGCCCTAAGCATCCCATTTTGTTAGTAAATGCTGTTTCTTTATGCATGGCTGATCTAATCCTTTTATAAAGCCCTTTGTAAGTTTTATAACCACCGTTAAGGGCTTTAATAGAAACTGGAACTGGCAATCTGTAATTCACAAAAGCTCGCAGAAACCAAAATTCTACTTTTAACTTCATTCTTACTGTAACTACTGATATTCTCCCTTGATAAAATAATGCATATATACATACATATATGCATATATACACATATGTATATAGGAATACTGTATGTGTATGATATGTATGCACACGTGTGTACATGTGTACACATGCAACTCTATGTGGGTATATATGCATATACATGTGTGTGCATATACATTTGTATATGAGTATTATATACACACATGTCAGAGAGCAAGTAACCAGGTCAACTTTAGCATCAGGTCAGGTATTAAGGAGGGGCCTATACCTCTTGGTGGCCTGATCACCCACTCCCCATCTTTAGTAACTTCTATCCCCCTGGTCCCAATCTTATGAGTCTTTGACACATAAATGGCCTTCTCTTTCATATCTCCTTCTCTTTCTTTCTTTAAGCTCTTTTTCTTTGACCAAATTCACTTTCTTTGGATTGGTTTGGTATTTCAGCAAGGGAAAGAAAAATGAGGTTGAAGCCTCTAGGTTGGTATGGTAGTCAACCAGACCCTTCTGTGGAATTGCTGGATGTCTTATGTGGGTCTTTCTTTTCTTTGCCAGGATTAGGGTGATGAAGGAAGACAGTAGAGTGGTGTGTGTTTCCTGCCTTGTCCTTGCTTGGAGCTAAGGAAAGATTAGTCTTCTTTAATAACAGAGTTATAACTGGAGTTGAGGGAGGTAGAAAGCAGGGGCTTTGCCCCAAGGCACTGACATCTAGAGGGATAGAGCACATTTCTTCACTGGAAGAGCCCTTTACCTCTGTGCAGTAACTGCAGGCAGATAGCACATAGCTATCTGAATGCCTCATCCCCTAATCTAAGACTTCATACACACACACACACACACACACACACACACACACACACACACCCCCCACCTTCTCCTCCAACCCCTGCAATGTTTAGGCTTAGCCTTCCCCAATCCAAGAATGATTATCTGTACTCACTGTCCTCACACCGCTGTTACCACCTGCCATCTACCAGAACCACCTCCCACTTTCCCAGACTTTTTTTTTTTGGCTGCAGTGAAAACATTCCTTGTCATAGCTTCCCTTGTTCTCACTTGTTGAGAATTTCACTTGGGAAAGTGCAATTAGTTTACTTTCTACATATTCCATTAACACCATAATTATGAAGATAAATTTGTCATACAGCAAAAGAAGGGACATAAACAAAAGTTAGGTATAGGAACACAGGAGTTATGCAGCCTCCAGGGTGCTGGATTCCTTAAACAACTGGTCCTTCTACAGCACTTGGAAGCTGAAAGAGCCGACGATGCTCAGGAGATCAAAGCAGGCTTTTTCAAGCCTTCAGTCAGAAGAAAAACATTTCAAAAGCTACCCTGAAAGACTCAGAATGTACCTCTGATTGAAGACCACAAAGTAGGGCAGTGGGATGTACTATCCAGGCGGCATCAAACACCACAATTTTTATTTAGGGATCCCAATTAGGTTAAATACAGTACTATTTGTTGGTCATGGCCCAATAACTTCTGACACTTGTTTTCTCTCTGTACTTTAGATTGATAAAAAAAATATAGTTTTGATTTGGGAAAAAAAAATTCATGTTATGAATATGATTCATAGTTACGGTTCAGGCTACTTCTTTTTCTAGCTAAGAGATCCAGAGGTAACTTGTCTCTATCCTTAATTGTATTTCCCTAGCTATAAGACCCAATATCACTTTTTAATAAATGATACTTAAAAAATTTTTAAAAACTTGTCATTTCTAATGAACACTAGCAGCTTTTGACATTTGCTAGACTCAGGGTCCAGGTTTGTTACTATTTTTAGGTTTAGTGTATAGTGTGAAAGTTCTCAAAGACGATTTCTCTTTCATGCTTTCAGGAGTTTGTTTTCAACCTGGTTTGACACTGATTGATAGTCTGACCGATGGTTCAATCTTAGATGAAAGACTTTATGCAAGTTACTAGTGATGTCCCTGACAACCAGGTGGTGGTGGAGAATGCCTTGCCCTCCCTACCTTGCTGCAGTTGAAGCTGGAAACTCCCAAAAGAGAACCCATGGGAAAAGAGTCCAAGTGGTAGATGGAACCACAGAGGTCCTGCTTATAGACCACACTTCCTCCAGTCTGCTGGTCCTCAGTCATCCAATCATCAGGAAGCAGTGCCAGTCCCTGGGGACCAATCAGAGGAACTCCCTGTGTTTTCTCAGCAAGGGGATAAAACTACATATCCCCCTTTTGATTAAAGTCTGTAGTCTGTTATGTGTATAAAGTAATAATTTTCTTAAAAAAAACCCACAAAGGGTTTTACTTTTTTTTTTTTTTTTGGTGAGGCAATCAGGATTAAGTGACTTGCCTAGGGTCACACAGTTAGTCATATCATGTGTCTGAGGTCAGATTTGAACTCAGGTCCTCCTGACTCCAAGGCTGGTGCTCTATCCACTGTGCCACCTAGCTGCCCAGGGTTTTACATTTAAAAAAATCAATACTTAAAAAGAACACACTATGAAATGTGGGATTTTAAATGGAGAGGCGCAGCTCTAACAGAGCACCAATATATTCACTGTTAGTAGGATCTTGTTTCAAGGCTCTCTCATAATACGCAACTGCCTGGCTCTTCTCCCCATTCAGCTTGTGAACAAACGCAAGGGCCCCTAAACTCTGCGCATCCAGAGAATTTTGATTCAACCGTTTGAGAGCTAAATTCTGCAAAGCCCTTACAAGTTGGCTGCAAAACTTAGGACTTATCTTTATCCCTTCTAAATAATGGTGCAAGGCAAGATGTCCAGCTTTCCTGTGAAATTCCAGGAAGCGGCCGTATTTGAAATGGGCCTGTTGCTTCTCCTCTTCTCTGACGTGTTCTAGGCCCAACGCTTTTTGAAAAATGTCCTCAGCCTTTCCAAGCTGACCTGCTTCCGCGTACATGTTGGCCAAGTCTATGTGAGCAAACACAAACAGAGACTTCTCTCTGACGGCTGTTTCAAAATGAAATATGGCAGACTGGATTAGTCTGTCTACTTCCTGTTTGTCCTTTCCCCTGGGTTTGTTCCATGTGGCCTTTTTGATTTGGATCATTTGTGCTCTATAACAAAGTCCCATTTGATGATGCAGGAAAGCAGAGGTTGGTACCAGTTTTAAGGCCTGTTTTAAGAGCTCCATAGCCTTCTTCGGGTTGTCTTCTCGCCGGTAAAATTTTGCTGCGTAGCGAAAGACATAGGGCTCAGATGATCCTTGGTCAAGGGCTTCCTTAATATATTTTTCTCCTTCAAAACTTGCCCCTAAGTCCTGAAGCTTTAGTGCCAGGAGAACCTTAACAAATGTACTTTTGGGATCCAGCCCAAGTGCCTTCTTCAGAGGGCTCAGAGAAAGACTTTTAACATGGGTACCATCTTTATCAAAGTCATCCATTCGGTACATGACAATGGCAAATCCAGCATTAAATTCAGGGTGCTCAGGGTCTGACTCCAGGGCCTTTTCAAAACAGGCTTTGGCCCTCTCATAATACTTCCCTCCAAACTTGAGAAGTGACCACCCTTTCTCACACTCAATTTCTGGAAGCTCTACCTTATAGCGGAAAGGACTTGACAGCCTTTTACAACTTGCCTCCACCTTGTCCAGGTAAGCCTGGGCATCAGGGAGTCTGCCCATATGATAATAGATCCATGCATAATTTCCCCAGGTCACCAGGCTTCTCATTTCTACTTGATTGGCACAGTCCTCCTGAATCCTTTCTTCGGCATTTTTTAAGCTTTCTAAAGCTTCTTCATCTTGGCCTTTTAGATGTTTCACATAGGCCAGTAAGTTAAAAAGGGTGACTTTGGATTTAATGGTCAGATATTCCAACTGGTCATCAATTCTCTCTTCTGCATAACGCACCTCAATATCCTCCTTCTGTAGATTCCAAGTAAAGTGACAATCCAGCTTCAGCAGGAAGTATTTTAAAGAATTCTTAGATATTTCACTGTAACAGATGAAATCCAGTTAAGTTTCAGAGGCAGAGGTAGAAATAACTAGTGACTCATAATCCCAAATGCCATTATTTTCAGTAATGAATGATAATGATAACATAACATCTATAATACGTACTAGGTACGTATTATAGTGGGGCAGCTAGGTGGTGTAGTAGACAGAGTGCTGGGCTTGGAATCAGGAAGTCTCCTCTTCCTGAGTTCAAATCTGGCCTCAGACACTTACTAGCTGTGTGACTCTGGGCAAGTCATTTAACCCTGTTTATCTCAGTTCCTCATCTGTAAAATGAGCTGGAGAAGGAAATAGCAAACCACTTCCGTATCTCTGCCAAGAAAACCCCAAATGGGGTCACAGAGTGGGATGCCACTGGAAAATGACTTAACAACAACAAAATATACCCAGCACTACTGCTGAGTGCTTTACAATTATTATCTTATTTGATACAACCACCCTGGGAGGTAGGGACTATTATTACATGCATTTTACAGATGAGGCAACCTGAGATAAAGAGGTTAAGTGACTTGCCCAGGGTCACACAGATAATAAGTGTCTAAGGCTGTATTTGAGCTCAGGTCTTCCTGATCCCACTGCACCACCTAGATGACCCTAAATCACATTTTTCTTAAATTTGTCACCCTTCCATTTCCTTACCACCTCTACCTCCCACCTCCTCTCCTGACCACAGTAGATAAACAGTCCTGGGCCTGGAGTCAGGAAGACCTCAGTTCCAACTGGCTCTCAGACATTTACTAGCTATATGACCTTGGGAACATTACTTAATTTTTGTTCACCTCAGTTTCTTCATCTGTAAAATGGGAATAGCACCTACTTTTCAGGGTTGTTGTGAGGATCAAATGAGATGATAATTATAAAGCCCTTTAGCACAGTGCCTGGCACATAGTAGGCTCTATAGAAATGTTAACATCATTATTATTATGACTAATTTCTTCAGTGTGTTAGGTGCTGGGCATACAAAGACAAAAAATGAGTATTTTCTTGACTCAAAAGCATTTGACCTGGGGTGAGGAGATTTGAGGGTTCAATATATACATAGATAAGGAAACACAAAGCATGCAACATTTATGCATGAAATAAAATTAGAGGCACATTACTAATATATTAGATATATTTAATTTTATTTTATTACTTTTCCCTCAGGCTTAGAAATATTTCATAAATATGCCTGTTGTTTATTGAAAAACTATTCTTGTGAAGCAGACAAGGTTGGAGAATCTTTTCTTTTTCTATTGAAGGCAGTGATATAATGAACAAATTGAGGATCACGTAAGGGAAAAAACAACAACATTTATTTAAGGAATTGAAAAGTTTCTACCCACTGAATTTTAAAATTAAGGGCAAGAAACATAAAATTATATTCAATAAATATAATTTTTAAAAATTAAGTCCTGAATTATGGCAGTTAAGAGAAGGAAAAAATATAGCGGGGCTAGGGAGAGGGAGAGAGAGTATTTTCCCCATTCGTATGATATTTTGGGCAAGTTACTTCCTCCTTCTCGGCCCCTTCTACAAAAATCTCCTGACATACCTACCTCCATTCTGCTTTATTTTCCCCCTAGAAACTGCTGTGACCTCTGAAAACTTCCATATCCTAAGCTTATATTGGGAGAGAGGTCCCCCGGCCAATCCCTGGCATGTCTTTTGCTGTGACATCAGATGTGATAGGTCAATCAGACAAGTCTGAGTGATAACTTGGTCCAAACCATTGGCCCTTGCCTGGTCAATGAACTGGCCTAATGAACTGGAGAGGACAGACGATGCCTTGTTGCTGAGATACTGGCCCAGGATTCTGGTATGAAGCTGTCTCTGAGCTGTCCTGGTTGTATTCTTTCCATGTAGCCCTGGCTCCATCATGTTATTGTCCTCATGTGATTTACGGTAGGCCTTATGCCTTGCATTAGGGATAGTCCTGTGGACCTGTGATTTCATGAGCATAACAGGGAATTTTCAGAAAAGGAAACTCTCTCTACCAAGACAGGTTGGCACCTTCTCTGAACCATATAATCTCAGAGAGTTAACTCTAGCACTGAGAAATTAAGTGACTTAGATAGGGTCACACAACCAGTATGTATCAGAACCTGAATTCAAATCTTCCTGGCTTCAAGATCACCTCTCTATCCACTATGCTAGGCTTTTGTTCCTAATCTTTCTTTCTTATAGGTTAAACTAGGGATAGGAATTGGACCTGAGAAAATTAAGGATTTTTGACATGAGCTCTCTTTTTTTCTCTTCTCTTCATCTCAAAAACCCTTAACATTGTCATGCCCTACCCTCTCCTCCTTTCCCTCAGTCTCTGGTAAAGACATGGCCCTTCCCCTTGCCAAGGCCCCAGCCCTCTGTATGTGCCCTTCATCCCAGCCACTCCCATTTTCTCCAGCAGATTACAACCTCATCATCTTGATCGTTAACATCTCCCTATCGATTGGTACATTTGTTATTGACTTTGAACAAGCCCAAGGATTGCCCTCCCCTTAAAAAAATTAAAATAGGAACATTGGATTAGATCTTAACATCCCCTTTAGTTATTATCGTATCTATCACTGTTCTCAGCTAAACTCCTAGAAAAAGCTGTCTGTGTTTGCTTACCTCTATTTCCTCTCCTTTCACTCCCAAGTCTTTTGACCTCATAACTCCAATGAAATACTCTCTCTAAAGTTACCAATGACCTCTTTCTTCATTGCCAAGAGTAATGGTCCTATTTTTTCTTTCCAGTCCTCTTCCTTCTTGACCTCTTTTCCTCATTGGACACCGTGGACCACTCTCTTTTCTTACATAACTCTGTCCCCTTTGGGCGTTCATGATATTACCTTCTTGTGGTTCTCCTAACCCATCTAACTGCTCCACATCTTCCTTTGCTGGCTCTCCTTAATTGTAGCTGTGCCTGAAACTTTTCCCTGGACCTCTTAATCTTTTCTCTCTATGCCTTCTCTCGGTGACCTCATCAGATACCATGGGATCTGAATCTAGTTGCCAAAGTGATTTTCTTTATTCACAATTTGAGTATGTCACTGTCCTACTCAATCAACCCCACTAACTCCCAATTGCTTTAGGATCAAATAACGTCTCCTCTGTTTAGTTTTTAAAGCTCTTCACAACCTGGTCTCAACCTATATTTCCATCTTTGTTAGGCATTATTCCCCTTCACTCACTTTGTGATCCAGCCAGACTGGCCTTTTCTTTGTTCTCACATACAACATGTTGGCTTCTTTCTCCCATTATCTCCTATCTCCAATCTCCCATCTTCTATCTTCCACCTTCCATACTTTTGCACTGTTATCCTCCATGTCCGTCCTATGTTAAAGACCTTTTCATCGGTATCCTTGCTTCAAGTCTTTCCCTTCTCCAATCCATGCTCTGAGCAGCTACCCAGGTATTTTTTTCTAAAGTGTAGAAAAGTGACTATTGCACTCCTCCTCACTCCTTTCTCAAACTCCAGTGCCTCTTCATTACCTCCGAGAGCAAATAGAAACTCCTCTACTTTGGCATTTAAAAGTCTTCATAAACTGGCTTACTCAGATCCCTTTCTTACACTCTATGATCCAGCTACGCTGTTTCTTGAACACAAAACTCTATCTCCCATCTTCGTACCTTTGCATTGGCTGTCCCCTGTGGCTGGAATGAGCTACACCCTCATCTCTGCCTCTTGATTTTCTTGGCTGCAAATCTCACCAATTGGAGAAGGTCTTTCCTGATCCTCCCCAGCTACTGCCACCTTCCTGCTTCTTATGACCTTCCATCTACTGTCCTCTCTATATGTCTTGCATGTACCTAATTATTTTCATGTTGTCTCCTCTTTGAGGACAAGGACTGTTTTTAACTTTCTAAGTAGTGCTTAGGTCAGTCCCTGATACATAAACAGCTCTTAATAAATGCTTGTTGGCTGACTGATTGACTGTTGTCTGAACCTGACCTACAATTTGATGGACAACTCATTGAGCTGGTAAATCTATCTTAGACATATATTGTATATGGACAATAACCCAGCCCAGAATTGAATAAGAGGAAGAGGAAGAGTACAGGATTTCATCTGGTAAATTGTTTAAAATTTTCAGTGAATCCCAAGTTTCTTCCCCAAATAAAACCTGATCTTTCTAACACCAATATTCTTTCAGTGATGCTTTGTGGCTATAAATCACATAATGCCACAATTTTTGAAGAACTAGTAGTTCTAATCACTAAAGAATAATGCAGACATGCATGGTAAACATAACTAGACAAGGTCTATTAGTATGGATGATATGTGTGAGAGAAGTGGCATCGTCCAAGAAATGCATGACCAGTGGAGGAGGTCAGCTGATGAAGGACAGCAGAATCCCTCAGGCTCCACTAGAATTCAGGTACTGTTACGAGCACGTTGGCTGGGCTCTCCATGGAGGATTGACAGAAGGATGTGTACAGGTATAAGGGTTACACATGATGAAAAGGCAACGGGTGGGTTGTGATCTGCACTGCCTCAAGGTGAACTGTGGGGAATGCTTACATTTAGAGTCCTGGGGAAGAAAGTGATTCCACTGAAGGGAGCATAGAAAGAGCAGCCTAGGAGGTAGGAGGAGAACCAATGTGGTGTCTTAGAAACTAAGGGAGTAAAAGGTTTCAAAAAGGAAGTATTAGTCAAAGGTGTCAAATGTTCTTTTGTGTACCCCCAGGTATACAAAGGTACACAGGGCCTGAACCAAGGTGACAGCTGTATTAGGAGAGAGAATGGATGAGATTCAAGAGATGCTGTGGAGATAGAAACAGCAGGATTGCTTACTGACTGGATATGTGGGATGAGGGAGGATATGAGGATAACACTAGGTTACAAACCTTGGAGAATGAAAGAATGGTGGTACATTTGGCAGAAATATGAAAATTAGGAAAAAGTTGGGGGCTAGTGTGAAGATACCTAGTTCTGTTTTGGACATGTTGAGCTTTGGATGCCTCTGAGAAATTCATTTTGAAATGCTCAATAAAATCCTCCAGAAGCAGAAGAATCTACTGAGCTGGGTCTTAAAGCAGGTAATGGCAAGAAACGATTGGAATGGAGGGGACATGCCACTTTAGGCACAGACCAGCATGCCAAGGGTGTTGAAGAAAGTGGAAGACTGAGTAAAGGACAAAATAATTTGTAAAGACGTTTCCCCCCCAAAGCCTACCAGTGAAATTCTGAAGGGCATACCTACAGATGTGGGTTGGACACCTTGAGCTAACATTTTATTATAGAGTCAATTTTTTATTTTTGTATATTTTAGCACCACTTTATAAAATAATATCTTTTGTTTTTACATCGCTTTCCTTTCTAATTGCATCTAATTGTATCCTTTCTTCACTCCCTCCCTAGAGGAATAAAGAATAAAAAAGAGAGGACAAAAATAATTCAGCAAAACTACCTATCACACCATCTGAAGGTCTGTGCAATGTTTCATACCCATAGTGTCCCACTTCTGCAAAGAAGAGACAGAGATTCAGTACCACTTTTAAACACTCAGTGATTCTGAGGTCACATATGACCATGAACTGAGGAACACATCTCCCACTTGCAGGTAACCTTGCTATTTTAACTTCTCCTTATCTAGACTTCATCCTGGACCACCTTTGTTGCTTGTATCACAGTTTCCACCTTGTTTCTTCCCTCTTATCAGCCTCTGCCATGACCTAGTGCTTAGAAAAACAAAATTCTCCCCAACTCTTTCCATGGCCAGTACCACTTGGGAAAAAAAAGAGTATTGCTTCCTAAAGATTTCTTTGTCCAGTTATCACAACTCTGTGGCAGCTATTAGGAGACAGTGAAAAAGAGCCATCCCACCCCGCCTCTGGCCTCAGAGGACCTGTGTTCAACTGCTGCTTGTGACAACTACTATCTGTGTGATTTCAAGTATGCCAAGTAATCCTTCTGAGCCTGATTTCCTTGTATATACAATAAAGGGTGGCCTCTGAATTCCTATTCAGTTTTAGATCTAGGATTCTATGATCTTTGCAAATGGGTTAATAGCAGGGTCCAGCTACATCGGTTTATGGGAAAAAACAGCACCTGTCTTACCCTGACACACTGGTGTGTGTCCTCTGCAGAAAGACGAAACCTCACAAAATCTCTGTGCACTGAGAATATTTACATTTCATCCTTGAGCCAAAGTGGGGCAGGTCTAGGGTAAGCTGTACAGCTGTAGCAAAAGGCCATGAGCCCATAAGTAATGGACACACACAGCATAATTGGCAGGGCTTACGCCTACCATTAGCTGCTCCTGGTGGGAGGAGGGGGCCCTCGCCAGTTATGCAAAGCTAGAGCCCACATGGTCCTGGATAAACCTTACACTTCTTTTGGATTAGGAGAAGGGAAAGCAAGCTTCACTCATGCGGTGTCCTTTCTGATTTCATTTTGAACTATAAGCAGCCCGTGTTGAGGGAATAGCCTGATTTAAAAAAAAAAAAGTCTTTCGTGGATGAGAACAAAGCAGAGGAAGGAACATTTACTAAGCCTCATGCAAGCCGCTGTCGGGGTACACAAAAGCAGTCCAAGACTCTTTGCTTTCTGGGTGTTTCCAAGAAAATTAGAGAGCCTGATTGGCATGGGAGGGGTGACATGCAACGTGCAGGAAGAACAGAATCAACTGGGCCAATGGTGTGCAAAGTAAGGGGAAGATTCAGGCTGGGCTCGGTTAGTCAGGAAAATCATCCAGGAGCAGAGGAATCTGCTGAGCCGGGTCTTAAGGCAGGTAATGGTAAGAAACGACTGGCAAGGAGGGGACAGACCAGCGCGCCAACTATTAACTCTCTGCTCTCTGGTCCTAGGAGTTTGGGGATGCTACTGAGCACAGTCCGGGCTTTGTCTTTGGTTCACAAATATATACCCTGGCATGGGAATTTACCTGGGACCCCAGGGAGGAGCACTGACAGCTCTGCATCGACCCACACTCCCAAAACATTGATCAAGCTGTTACGGTGGGTAAGTAGCTGTGCTGGGTGCTTTCAAAAGTCCTACTTAGAAAAATATGAAAGACAAGTCCCTTTCCCCAAGAGATTTACAATCTCTGGGTGGGCACTTTTTGACATGGCAGGGACAATCAGTTTTATTTTTACTCTTGACAGCAAAAATGACAACAATAAAAACCAAATAGAAACCTTCCCTCCCCCAAACACTGCCCTGCCTTACTTATTAATCGTGCAATCCCCTGACAAGTGTGAAAGAGGACTCTACTGTCAGTACTTTCTTTTTCAGAAACTGACCTTTCTCTTAAATGTTGAGCTATCTCAGCCCAGGTTAGCTGCTCTCTCGGTTTTCTCTAGAACTGGCAGCCTCAGTCAGAAAGGATGACTGAAACGTGGGGGGGAAACCCAACTATAAAGCAGCCTGGTATTGGATTATTGTTGGTGTTAATGGATTATGACTAAACAAATATTGGAAGGTCCAATGCACAATCATCTGCCTTCATGGAATAGGAGGATTGCCTGACGATTAGAATTCAAGAGAAATATTTGGTTGGACGAACTTTGCCTGCAGTGATTTGCATTTCAGGGAGAGAGAAACAAAGGGAAAAGAAAGCCATTTACCTCATGTTTATTGCCGGGTGATCCAAGGTCCTGCAGTACTGTAGTCTGGTCTTACTTTCTTCTCGGGTAGCTGGCTGCAGGGCTGCTCTGAATTGTGCCTTCTCAGGACTGAGGAAGGACACGGTTTGCGGATTCTTAGCTTGATGTGGGTGATCCTTGCACACACAGCTTATAAAGAGAATCTTGCACGTGACAGCATAGGGCGGGTGGGAGGAGGAAACCGAAAGTGGAAAGTGGAACTGATTACTGACTGGGAAATGGAAACTAAGGGGGAAGTGGGGAGAGAAACCTGCTCTGGGACCTTAGAACCTCCAGGCACCAATCACTGGTGGAAAATAAACTTGGGGGGGGAGCATCTACTCTGGGCCCCACACTATGCTAAGTACTTTACAACTACTATCTCATTTGGTCCTCACAACAACCCTGGGGAAATTGAGGCAAATAGAAATTAGGTGACTTGCATAAGGTCACACAGCTAGTAAGTGTCTGAGGCTGGATTTGGACTCAGGTCTTTCTGACTCCAGGCTCAGTGCCCTATCCACTGAGCCACCTTGCTGCCTCCAGTATATTATTTAATACCTAGCATTTATATAGTGCTTTAAGGTTCACAAAGCGCTTCACATAAATTATGTGTATTTAAAAGCTACTGAGCTGTTCTCTAGTCATTTTGTGCTAGGTGTGGTTTTCCCGGTCATGAAAACAGGCTGATATTGCTCCATTCATATACTCAACTAGTTTGCATTAAAATTTGTACATTTATCAGATGATGGGCTGAAGGTGAAAGGGACATTCTGGTTGAGGATCAGAGGAGAGTTAATTGGCCTTCACAGGACCCTAGCTTGCAGCCATGAGGGTGACATGTCCCGAGCTGTCCCGTTCAGACCCAGCAAGTCTGCAGTTCCAACTCTGGCTTTCCCAGTATCGCCCCTTCACCACAGGGTAGAGATGTTGTTTTTCCTTTGTTTGTTGTGGTTGTTGTTTATCCTTAGGAGAGAGAGAAGAGAGAGAAGAGGAAGAGGAAGAAGAGGGGGAGGAGGGGAAGGTGAGGAAAGGAGGCATTCCTGGGAACATTCTGTTGTCTTCCCCTGCAATAACTCCACTATGCATTGGGTATCCTTTCTGTGATTCTTCCTTGTGTATATGTGTTAAGTGACTTTAGCAGGTTGGCTGTTAATGGATGTATAGCAGAAGGGACAGGTCTTTTGAAAAGTTTCTTCCTTGGGTTTGGGGGAACCCTCAGGTCTGAGGGCCTACCAATAGAGGGGCATTTCTGGTACCAAAGCTTCTAACACAGATCTATATTAAGAGCTATGCTTGTAACCAATCCTACATTCTGGGGAAAACACCATTCAGAGACACGTGGAGTTGTCTCTGTTCAAAATCCCCTCATCTCAAATTCCTCAGGAGGTATCTCTACCTACCTCCTCCTAACACTTACTGGCAAACTCAATGGTCAGTAAATGGTATCAATGAGAGGAGGACCATGACACTCAACAGAGAAGCCCGGTTAGGAAAAGAAAAATGGTTTGGCTTTTAAAGATTAGCAAGCGTGTCAAGATTCCCCAGGTAGCGTAACCTTAGATGGCTGGGAGTGCTCCCATCTAAACAGGTCTTCTAACTTTGGCTATCTCTAGCACATCCTGAAAAATGGGGCACTCTAGAGATCCAGAGTGAGCAACTTTATCATCCCATGTGACATGGCTTTCTCATGGGCACTCAGGGCATACTAGACATTTACCACTCAGCTCAGCTTCCCAGGGGCCATTCAGAGCTTTTTTGGTCTTTCTACTCCCTTCTTGCCGTGAGGCTCTTTCCTTTCTGGTAATTCCATACCCCTCCCATCCCTCACTCCTTACCAGTCTTCACTATATTTAATATGGCCTTGCAGGTCAACCCATACTCTTCATTTTGTGCATGGGCATCATTCCACACTATTAAGTGTGGGCCTTACTTAGGGAGATTCACAAGAAGAGCATCCACGCCAGTAGGTTCCCTGACAAAATCTTTATGCATGCTTGAGTTTCTCCCTTTTCTAGGCATCTATTTAAATGGTGAATGCTCATCTTAGGGCAGCTAGGTGGCGTCATAGTGTGCTGAGTACTAGGCTGGGTCAAAAAAAGAAAAAAAGACCTAAATTTAAATGTGACCTCAGACAGACATTTACTAGGTTTGGGCAAGTCATTCAGTCTCTGTCAGCCTCAGTTTCTTCATCTGTAAAATGGGGATAATAATTAGCACTCACCTTATAAGATTGTTGTCAGGATAAAATGAAATATTTGTACAACATTTAGCACAGTGCCTGGCTCATAGTGGGCACTATATAAATGCTTGTTTCCTTTCCCTCTTCTCTTTCATTCAATCAGCAACAATTTCTGGTTTAGTCAAAGTTAGGTTAGCTTCCATCCATTTATATCTCTGAGACAATATTTCTGCAGTACTATAGGCCTAAAAAGGGGCTATTGTAAATACTCTTAAGGGGATGTTTAATTCATATCCTTCCTAGTGGACACAGTCCAAGCTGATACTCCTCTGCCTTTTAGTTGTATAATACATGGTCTATTCTGAGCCTTGTACATGTCCTGAACTCTTTATGATAGTTATAGAGTGGCTAACCCACATGCCACATTTCAAACAGTTCACTACCAAAGAAATCTCCATCTGTGTGTCTTGGTAGTTGAACTACAGGACCTTAGGATTTAAAAAAAAAAAGACTTTGACTTTGATGGTGCAGAAGAAGGCGGCCCCCATTTTAGTTATAGCACATGTATAAAAATTATACACCAGGGTTGGAGGACCATTATTCCCATTCCTAGTTGAGGCTGATCATGTAGAACCTGAGAAACAATGTATTTAAGCTTATGATATATAACCCATTCTCTCTCCAAACACTTGCATGCCAAATCTTGGGATCCAACCAGGAACGCTCAATCCAACTGGTGAAACCATTGCAATCTGTGCTCAGTTTCTAGTCCCAAAATACATTTGGAAATGTCAACCCACTCTTTGGGGTATGGTATATGCTGTCTATTTGCCTGGATAACATGATGCTGCTGTCTTAGGAGACATGTTGAGGAGGAAACACACTCAAAGTTGGGATTCAAGTGGCCATATTATATATACCCTATGAACGGGCTTGGCTGAGAACAGGGAATCAGTTCTAGACATAGGAGGGAGCATTCCTAGTCAGACCTAAATGTGGTGGAAAAATTCTCAGGGTCCCTCATAGCTACCAGGCTTGGGTGAAGTTTAGTTGGGGGAGTTTCTTTACTGGAACCACAAATTGGTGGAAGCGCGTGGAAGTTAACTACTTAAGGCAGATTTAAAAGAATGGCTTAAAGCCATTAACAGTGGAAAAGTTTTGCCTCTATGCTTCTATGGGCATTAGGACCCCTTAGCCTAAGTATCTCCATATTATGGGGACCTATCATTATAAAAATAGTATCAAACAACATAAAATGTATAATTATCACTGACAGATACTATATTAAGCCCTGGGGAGTACAAAGAAATGCAAAAAATAATCTCTGCTCTTGAACTCACAATCTAATGGGGAAAACAATGTTCAAACAATTAAGTCCATACGCATACAGGACAAATAGAAAAGAATTAAGAAAGAAGGCACTAAAACATGAGGGATAAGGTTTCCTGTAAAACAAAGAATTTTGACTGAGACTTGAAGGAGACCAGGGAAGCCAGGAGACAGAGATGAGGAGAGAATTCCAGGCATGAGAGAGAGAGTCAGTAAAAATGCCAAGAGTCAGAAGATGGAAGCCAGTATCATTGGATCAGAGATTAACATAGGAGTGTAAGGTATAAGAAAACTGGGAAAGTATGCATTGGGAGGTGGGGGTGGGGAGGAGGTAGGTCAAGAAGGTAGAGCCAAACAGAGGATTTTATATTTGATCCTGGAAGCGACAGGGAGTCACTGGAGTTTATTGAGGAGGTGGAGTGGGTGTGGTCAGACCTACACTTTAGTGGGTGAGGAGACGATAAACTGGAGTGGAGAGAGACTTGTGGCAGGTCGACTCATCAGCAGGCTGTTGGACTAGTCTAGGCTTGAGGAGAGGGCCTGAAACTTGGTACTGGCAGTTTCAGAGGAAAGGGGGGTATTCAAGAAATACTTCAAAGGTGAAGTCCACCGACCTAGGCAACTGATTGGATATGGGGAGTGGGAGATAGTAAAGAATTGAGGATGATTCCTGCATTGCTAGCCTGAGGTACTGGGAGGAAGCTGTTGCTGCTGACTATGCCTCTCAATCCAAATCACTCTGGCTTCTCTTGATTGGTTAATAACAGCCCCCAGTCCAAGACTCTGAGGCTCATTGCTTAGGCTTTGATGGCTTAGAACGAGTACAAATAGCGATTGTTTTCTGGGAGGGGGAAGAACCTCAAAGTTTCTGGCCAGAAGAACTCCATTCTTCCTTAGATTAATTTGTATGCCATCCCAAAGAGGAATCTGGGATGAGATGGGGTTTGTAGCCTCTACTTCCATAAAGCTTTTGTGGGGTTTCTTTGGTGGATACTTTGGAAATGGGTTTAGAGAGACACAGGATCACTTGAGAGACTCAACTCGAATCAAAAGGAATTTCTTTTTTTTTTTCTTTTTGGTGAGACAGTCAGGGTTAAGTGACTTGCCCAGGGTCACACAGCTAGTAAGTGTCAAGTGTCTGAGGCCAGATTTGAACTTATGTCCTCCTGACACCAGGGCCGGGTCCACTGCACCACCTAACTGCCCCCATCTCTCTTGATTCAATCCAAGATTGGATTAGCCTTTTTGACTGCTCTATCACACTGATGATCCAGAAGAGATATGCAGTCCTCCTAGACCTTTTCAGGTAAACTACTCCATAACTGCCCTCCAATCTTGTACTTGGGAAGTTAATTTTTTTGACTCAAAGTATAAAATTACATATTTAACTTCATTAAATGTCATCTTATTTGATGCAGCCCAATGTTCTGGCCCTTAAAGATCATTTTGGGCCATGACTCTATTATCTAGTGTGTTTGCTATCTTTTGGAGCACTGTAACTTCTGTAGACTTTATAAGCATTCCATTTATGCCTTCTCTCCCCCCCCCCCGGCATTGCTACATATGTTATATTGCACAGGGTCAAATATATACCTCAAAGACACTCTACTTTTACTGGTCTTTGAATCCAGACATTCTAGTAATTATGAATCCACTTAATTATATTATAATCTACTTC